TTTTGGTAAAGTTCAAAAGCCAGAGATATTGGCCGCTTGACCTGACTAAAGTCTGGTAATAAGAAATTTAAGGCCGGGCGCGGTGGCTCAAGCCTGTAATCCCAGCACTTTGGGAGGCCGAGACGGGCGGATCACGAGGTCAGGAGATCAAGACCATCCTGGCGAACATGGTGAAACCCCGTCTCTACTAAAAAATACAAAAAACTAGCCAGGCGAGGTGGCGGGCGCCTGTAGTCCCAGCTACTCGGGAGGCTGAGGCAGGAGAATGGCGTGAACCCGGGAGGCAGAGCTTGCAGTGAGCTGAGATCCGGCCACTGCACTCCAGCTCGGGAGACAGAGTGAGACTCCGCCTCAAAAAAAAAAAAAAAAAAAGAAATTTAAAAGAGCACTATGCTTAAAAGTCAGCCTTAATTTAAAACAGATACTCAAGCTCTAATAGCCTGTATGTGGGGGGAGCATGGCAACATGGGATGGCTGAGGGGGTTGTGGGGAGTGTTGGAACTGTTGAGCTTCCTGATTATATTGTGGGTTACACAAACCTAGAGATATGTTAGAATTCATAGAACTCTACACCCCCCAAAAGTCCTTTTGACTGCATAATTTTATTATGCAGTAAAATGTCAAACAGATTGAGTATCTCCCATTTTATTGTGCTTGACCTAACACTCCTTGGGAAAAACAGAGGAGGTACCACAGACCCTGTTTGGGAAACACTCTTTTCTCCTCAGGAAACCCCAAGAATTGCAAGCGGATAAGTCTCTCTCAAAATCTGAGGTTCTGTTCTGCTTTGCATTCATTATCTGACATTTTTTTACTTTTGGGGTTATCAGAAATTATTTCACATATGAAAGAATTTGATATGTAATAATTGGGTAAGAAATAGACTTTTGAGGATGGCTAATAGCAGTTATAGGGAAATAGCTCTTCACATTTGAATCAGAGAAACATACCCTTGACCACATAAAAAGTATGGGGATGTCCCCACACCCAACTGAGAAATAAGATTTCCATGGAAATAAACTGATTGTTTTTTGGATCCATTTAAAAATGGATCTGATTTTAAAATGGAACCCTTAGTTTTGGAGGATCTGTTTTGCCTTCCAGCTACCTTACTTTTAGGCTGTAAGAACTACATGTTTTCCTGGTCCTGGGATCCACTCTGAAGCTAGTAATTCAATTAAGAAACTGACAAAGGAAAAACCTTACAACTAATGAATCTTTTGTCTGTATATTTCTGTGTTGTGTGTGTGATATAAAAGAGCTCTGATTAATTGGTTTAAAAACAATAAGAGCTTAAATCAAATATTTTGTCAGAAAAGTAAAAACTGTAATGCCTTTTAGTAGATGTGACAAGTAATCTTTTGGGAATTAAACAGTTTTAAAGATTATTGGAAAGATAAAATGTCTTCAAAATATAAACATTTGATCAAAATTATACAGGTCAGATATTAGGTTTACCAACTACTTGAAGGTCACAAACTGCTTCTTTGACTTTTAAAAATTGTTCAATTTTCCTATCTTGAAGCTATTAGCTTCTAAATAAGGCCTGGGGACATATGGAATTAGTCATGCCCCCTTACTATACAAAGAAGGTTATAAAGAAAAAAAGTTTTATATTAAAAAAAAATCTTGTATAGCAAATTCTTTTCCTAAAATAAAATGACTGGTTATTTAAAAAGAGGGATGTTTACGATAAATCAGAAAGTCCAAACATATTGTAGATAGTCTGTATAAGAAATCAAAGCATTCATGAAAGGGATTTTATACAAGAAATGTTATACAATTTAAAGGTGATTAGACCTTCTGAATACTTCATAAAATGCCACTAAGGCTCTTACTGTACAATTTGCCAGCTTAACAGCTAGGTAGGGCCTGGGGCACATGGAATCAGCTACACCCTCTAACTATTAACACACTGGAAAGAGTCAGACCTTATCTACACTTGTGCCTGGGTCCTAGACTCAACACCTAGTACATAACTAAAATCCCACTTACCACGGTTTTCACCATGGGTAAAAGTTACTAAGAATTAACATTGTAACATGGAATTTTCACTACTATAAAACAGTTTTACATGCAAGGTATGCAAAGAAAATGAAATGTGTTTTTGATAAAAGTTTATAAAAAATAGAAATGTAGATTTGTCTAGATTAAAAGGTTGTTTTAAATTAGATAGAATAAAACTGAAAGTTTTAAACAATTGTGGATAATTTTTGAACATTTAATTGTAAAAGAGATTCTGTGAGCACATTAACTAAAGTTAGAGGGGTATTATCCAGTTGTAATATATATTGAACACTGTGACAAAAATGACAAGCTTCTCTTAAAGCTTTGATCAACTCTTTAATAACAAAAAATGTGTAGTTATAAAAGTTTTGAGAATAATACCTTATGGTCAAACATTAAAACTGGATAAATTTGTCTAAAGATTCATTAAGGCCGGGCACAGTGGCTCACATCTGTAATCCCAGCACTTTGGGAAGCTGAGGCAGGTGGATCATGAAGTCAGGAGTTCAAGACCAGCCTGGCCAAGATGGTGAAACTCCGTTTCTACTAAAAATACAAAAATTAGCCAGGCACAGTGGCAGGCACCTGTAATCCCAGGTACTCAGGAGGCTGAGGCAGGAAAATCACTTGAATCTGGGTGGCAGAGGTCCAGTGAGCCGAGATCAAGCCATTGGGTTTGACATCACTAATACACAAACATAATGGTGAAATTTGGATCATTTAGTAAAAAATCATACAGGAAACATTGTCAAATATGAAATGTTTTACTCTTTTTGGACTATATTTGTATAAATATGCTATTGGTATGTGTTTCAAAATTATAGGGCTGGGCAACATGGCTGACGTCTCTAATCCCAGCACTTTAGGATGTCAAGATGAGCAGATAGCTTGAGGTCAAGAGTTCAAGACCAGCCTGGTCAACATGGTGAAACCCCCGTCTCTACTAAAACTACAAAAATTACCAAGCATAGTAGCATGCACCTGTAGTCTCAGTTGCTCAGGAGGCTGAGGCAGGACAATCGCTGGAACCCAGGAGGCAGAGGTTGCAGTGAGCCAAGATCGCACCACCACACTCCAGCCTGAGCAAAAGAGTGAGACTCCGTCTAATATGACTAAGTGTATGTTATTAATAATTACACTTTGGGAGGCTGAGGCGAGCGGGTCACCTGAGGTCAGGAGTTCAAGACCAGCCTGTCCAACATGGTGAAACCCGTCTCTATTAAAAATACAAAACTTAGCCGGGCTTGATAGCAGGTGCCTGTAATCTTAGCTAGTTGTGAGGCTGAGGCGGGAGAATCACTTGAACCCGGGAGGTGGAGATTGCAGTGAGCCAAGATTGCCCCTAGGAGACAGAGCAAGACTCAATCTCGAAAAATACTACTACTACTAATAACAATTACAATTGTTACCTAAAATCATTGTATGCCACAGAGCTAACCAAATTTCCTTGTCAATCATGTTCTTTTTTTACTGTAACTGCCCTAAGACTTTGCCATCCAGACAATCATCTTGTGTCAATCCTCTTCAAAAGATGATTTGTAGTCAACTATAAGACACTGACAGAGGTTCTTAAATGCAAGTTTCTGATAACATTAGAAATTAAAGGTGATTAGACCTTCTGAATACTTCATAACATTAGAAATTTGACATTAGAATAGAGGAAGTTCTTTTTTTTTTTTTTGAGATGGAGTCTCACTCTGTCACCCATATTAAAAGTACAAAAATTAGCCAAGCATAGTGGCACGCCTGTAATCCCAGCTACTCAGGAGGCTGAGGCAAGAGAATCACTTGAACCCGGGAGGCGGAGGCTGCAGTAAGCCAAGATGGTGCCATTGCACCTCCAGCCTGGGTGACAGAACCAGACTCAGTGTCAAAAAAAAAAAAAAAAAAGAAAAGAAAGAAAGAAAAGCAAAAGTATCTATTTCTTTCTTCCAGACAATAAATATATTACTTTATTAATTCCATTTAAAATTATGTCATAAACAATTAGTCATATGGGAGCACTTCTAGATAGTACCAAGTTTCATCTCATAATATTCAGCATGAAACTCAAAAATCAATAGAACAGGATTTGAACACAGATATTCACTGTCACAAATTTACCCTGAAAAAAAAGAAACTGATGTTTTAATGAATCTATGTAACTCACCAATTATCCACCACATTTTCTTGTGGAAATGTATTCATTTTCTATAGCTAAAATGGAAGGGATTTTGCCTGGGAGTAGCATTCTAAAAGCTAAGCCTTGAAATTCTGTTTGAAATCACCCAGCCATAAAAAAAACAAAAACAAAAACAAAACAAAAAAAACCACACCTGAGAAAATTCCTAAACTCACTCTGGGAAAGAAAAAGGTAAATGGGAATTTTTAACAAATTTTTAACAAACGAAATATATGATTAGATTTTTTTTTCAGAAATCCACCTCTTTTATGACCTTTGTAAATATTTTTCTACCTTTCAAGCCCTACTAATATAACGCAATTTACAGCTAAAAAACTGAGGTCAACATAAGTGACAAATCTCTTCGAGGTGACAAACCCAGGTAGTGGCAGTGCTGATTAAATAATAGATGTGTCTGACTCGTGTTTCAGGTCAGGTCATTCAATCACCGGAGAGATCCTTCCACCCACTCCTACTCACTTCTGTGCTCAAGAACCACCCATTCAGAAGACATCGAATTATGCCCCAGTGACTGCCCCAGGTGCATTTTACTTTGCAAGCTCTTACACCATCTCACTGGGGTCAGTTCTGTTGTTGTTGTTTGTCTTTTGGAATACTTTTCAGTAACAAAACTTTCACTTTTTTTCCCCCAGTATTTTTCTTTAACTATATTTATTTCACTATTTTTCTGCCCCCTTAGATAATCCAGGGAGCAGAAATTATTTTTGTGTTTCCCCCTCAATACCAGCATCTGATTGGCTGACCAGCAATGTGTCTCCAAGAAATGAAAGCTGAGTTGGGTGAAGACAATTTTAATGTCTCAAGGAGTTACCTTTTCAAAATAAGAGTGCACCAGAAGATTCCTCTCAGCCCCAGGGCATCCACTTGCTCCCTTGAAAGGACACATTCCATACCTCAGGTCATCCTATGGGAGAAAATAAACCAGAAGCTGACATTCACTAGGCACTTTAGCTGACAGAACCATGGTGGATATCTTGGTATATCCCCAGATAGTACTGAAACCCAGGACCAGGAAAAAACTAAAGGGTGGCTGAGGACTCCTTTAAATCAGGGGAAGAAATCAGTACCTAGAGGGTGCCCACTGTTAGAAGCCAACTCATAGTCAACCTGTCTCTGAATCCTGGCCTCCTGTCTGCACTGGGACACATCACCCCATAGATTTTTCCAAACCAAAACCTTGACCCAAAAACATTCTGATAAGATCTCTGTGCCTAGAGAAGATAAAAGGAAAAGAGACACAGAGATTTTCTACAATACAGTATCTGAGGATTAGTCTTTGTTTCCTTTTCATGGGAAATATTTACAAACGGATAACAAATCTTAGAAGCAACATTTAATGCTTTGTCAAAAACAATTAAAATATGGCATAAACAAGTACACCAAAGGACAAATAGGTGATAATGTGAATTAGGGAGGAAAAGTTGGCATTTGGGAACGCCAGAAGAAATTGGAAATTTAATATCTTACTGCAAGCCAGCGTGAGGCTGGAGAAATGGGGGATAGGGGTTAGATTTAAGACCCTGCTTGGGACACAGGTGAAAAATGCAGCAGAAAATCAGTTCCCTGTGAAGTGTGAAAGTAATTAAGTGACAGGCAATTAGACTGAGGTGTCTCTAGTCCCTGGGTTCCTACTTAAAAAAAAAAAAATCTAACTCAGGTGCATTTTTTTTTTAATTACTACATTCAGAGAAAATTTAGGCTTAAACAAATATAAACTGCTAATTAACCTCTGATTACACAACCAGGAAATTTTCACCAATATTGTACAAATTAAGAAACTACGTTACTGTACCTAACCAATTACTAAATTTAGTTTTCTTCATAATGCATTTTATAAATGACTTTCCTTCAAGCCTCTCCCATAGACAACAAACTACAAACCACAGCTGGGAGCTCTACGATTCTTGAATCACTATTTGATTAAATTATTTAAGCCAGGCGCGGTGGCTCACGCCTGTAATCCCACCACTTTAGGAGGCCAAGGAGGGCAGATCACGAGGTCAGGAGTTCAAGACCTGCCTGGCCAACGAGGTGAAACCCCGTCTCTACTAAAAATAGAAAACAATTAGCCAGGCCCGGTGACAGGCGCCTGTAATCCCAGCTACTCGGGAGGCTGAGCCAGGAGAATCGCCAGAACCCGGCAGGCGGAGGCTGCAGTGAGCCCAGATCGCGCCACTGAACCCTAGCCTGGGCGACAGAGCCAGACTCCGTCTCAAAAAAAAAAAAAAAAAACCTTTAATATTTTTGCAGTGACTCCCACACATTTTTAATACGAGAAAAGAGGAACTGGGAAAGCCACGGACCAAAGCTCTTCCCATTCATGAACCCGCACTCCGAGTCAGGATTCTCCCCTGATAACCCTCCTGTGGTCCCCGCACAATCTGAGAGACGCGGCGCTGCGGGTGCAGAGCTGCCCAGAGAGGGCCCCCAGGCCAGAGCACAGTCACTAGCGAAGGGAAGAGACAAGATGCCTGGGGTCCCGGCTGTCAGCGCAGCCGCCATCTTATAGCTGAAGGGCACTGAGGCAAGCTGGGCAAGGAGAACTCGGGGCGCAGATCGTGGAGCTGACTGCCGAGAGGCCTGAGTCCCGTCACAACTACTTCCCACCAGTTCCAAACAGCCCCTTCCCCTTCTCTCGGGAGGTCGGACCGGGCACTCTCACCATTTCTAGGCTTCCAGGGGGTCCTGGCGTCTTAGCGGTGGATCTCCCAATATCTGCAGGTCACAGGGCCACAGAGGATGGGCCTCCAGGAGCAGAAGACACAGAGCAGCGAGGACGAAACCTGGAGCTCCGGCTACAGCAAGAGACAAAGGCCCCGCCAAACCCGGAAGCCGTCCAGTCCGCTCCAGCTGCATGCCTGATTGGACGGTTTCCAGCGCAGCGTCCCTGGTTGGAGAATGCTTAAATCCCCGCCCCGTCAGGCTTTGAGTGACAGAATATGTGATCAGATGCTGGACTGAATGAAGAAAGAGTGACAGCCCAGGCTGCCACCACTTCTGACAGGGCTTCCTTCCTCTCTGAGCTGAGCCAGGCCCATGCCAGAGAGTATTTGCCTTTAAACTTGTGTATAAGGTTATATGAATAAATAAATAATACATTATAAAGCTATACACAAATGAAAAGAATATAATGACAATTATTTTAAAATTTCAGCTTTTATGGCCTTCCTGGCTTCTGGCCCGGCCCTTTGAGCAGGCAGCCTGAGATTGTAGAAAAGAGAAAATCATCTAAAATGAATGATTTTCATTTTAGAAAAATTTCATTTTAGAAAATGAAATTCTAAAATTTAGAAAAAATTTAGAAATTCTAAAATTTCATTTTAGAAAATCCACAGCCACGTGTGGATTTTAAATTTTCTAGTAGCCAAACTTTAAAAAGAAACAAGTTGAACTGATTGTTAACAATGTAATTAACCCATTATATTCAAAATATTATTATTTTAATGTGTGAGAAATATGTAATTATTGATGAAGTATATAAATATATGGAACTAAATCTTTGAAACTGACTTTGTATTTTACCTTTCTAGCATATCGCATTTCAGACCAGGCACATGATAGGAACCCAGTAGCCACACGTGGACCATAGCTGTCACTTTGAAGTGCAGCTCTGATATCAGCGGTGTGAAGGGCCTGAACATCTCTTGTCTGCCAGAGTGAAAGAAGAGACTCTCCCTACAAACATCTCTCTTTGGTTCCGAGGGTGGACCAGATAGTGGCCATAGAAAGAGCTGAGGGCAACAGGAATAAAATAGCCACAGGTAAACCACTGCTGGCCACCTGTTGCCCGCCTTTCTTTTAGAGACCAGATAGTGAGCAAAGGATGATGGGGCTACAGGAGAAAGAAAAACTACGTCTTCAGTTCTGTCCACACACTTGAACTCCAATATTTAGAGATGGAGAAAATAGATTAAAAGCAAACGTATTTTGCTATTTGGTCTTGGCCCTAATGGTCAGGCTGTGTTTATCTGTTTTCTCCTGTCATGTGGGGGACCATGTGAGTCCAAGCACCAATCACATGCATACATGTCTACAAGTATTTCTACATTACCCAAAATTCTCTTACAAAACATCCAACTTTAAATCAGGGGAAGAAATCAGTACCTAGAGGGTGCCCACTGTTAGAAGCCAACTCGTAGTCAACCTGTCACGGAATCCTGGCATCCTGTCTGCACTGGGTACATGTATTAGTTAGCTATTGCAGCATAACAAACCATCCAAAACTTATTAGTTTATAATTGAAACGGTCAGCCGTTTATGCCCAGCTGAGTGGGGCCATTCTTCTAGTCTCAGCTGAGCTCCTTCAGACATGTATCATCAGCTGCTTGTTGACTAGACAGCTGTGCTTCTGAGGGTGAGCTTCTGCTTCTGGGTCTGTCAACAGGGGCACCTTGCTTCTCCTCCCCATGGTATCTTATTTTCCAGCTGGCTAACATGGGCATTATACATGGAGATGGCAGTATTCTAAAAGAAAAACAGAAGCAGTCAATACCATTTGAGCCTAGGCCCCAAACTGGCCCACTGTCATGTTCACGGATTTCTATTGGGCTGAGCAAATAAGGCCAGCCAGATAGAGGGTTTTGAAAACAGATTCCAGATCTTGATGGGAACAACTATAAAAGCACCTGGCTATGGGCATAGATACAAGAGGGATGAAAAAATATCATTTTGCAATCAGTATCATTCTATCTTTTTTGCATATGTGGTATATAGAACTCCTCCACATCAAGAAACTTGTGCAAAGACCTACAGCTACTAAGTGGCTGGGCTGAGACTCAGGATCAACTTTATCTGACTCCAAAGCCCATGCATCTCCACAGATCACACTACTCAAGTAGTTGCCCTTCCCTAAACCCTTGAAATCCTGGAGAGTGACACTTCCATAGAAGAAGTCAGATTCCTTTTAGATTTGTGCTCAGAGAGTACTTTTTATCATTGGGAATAGTCCTCACAAGAAATTGCAGAAGCACACGGTGGATCACACCTGTATTTTTAACACTTTGGGAGGCTGACATGGGAGATTTATGTGAGCTCAGGAGTTCCAATGCAGCCTGAGCAACATAATAAGATTCTGTTTCCATGACAAAAATGAAGAAATTAGCCACCAATGGTGGTGCATGCCTATAGTCCCAGCTACTCAGGTGGCAGAGGCAGGAGGATTGCTTAAGCCTGGAATGTCAAGGTTGCAGTGAGCTGTAAGTAGTTACACCACTGCAATCAAGACTGGGTGACAGAGTGAGACCCAGTCTCAAAAAAAAAAGAAAAGAAAAAAATTGGAGAAGCATTTTGAAAAGACATCAAATAATTTGGGGAAATAGCTGAGGGATGAGTTTAGAAAATCACAGGCACATCATTTACTTTTCATCATAGAAAATATTTGAAACCATTAAAAGAAAAAATCTTTAGAGAAATTAATTTTTTTAATTTATTTTTTATTTTTGAGACGGAGTCTCGCTCTGTCACCCAGGCTGGAGTGCAGCAGTGAGATCTTGGCTCACTGCCACCTCCACCTCCCCAGTTCAAGCAATTCTCCTGCCTCAGCCTCCTGAGTACCTGGATTACAGGCATGCGCCACCAGGACCAGCTAATTTTTGTATTTTTAGTAGAGACGGGGTTTTACCATGTTGGTCAGGCTGCTCTCAAATTCCTGACCTCGTGATCTGCCTGCCTCGTCCTCCCCAAGTGCTGGGATTACAGGTGTGAGCAACAGAGTTCAACTGAGCATGGAATGATTTGCAAACTGGGTAGCTTGTGGATCCAGGGTAGGCTCAGACAGACTCTAGCACAACCACCTGATGAAAACAGATTTATAGACAGCAAAAGCAAAGTGACATACGGAAAATGAAAGTGAGGTACAGAAACAGCCAGATTGATTACAGGTTGAGATTTACCTGATTTAAT